GGCATGATTACCTGCCAAGACCTGCACAGTTGGGCATTTATGACCAGATCACACTGTGAGGTTACTTTCCATAGAACCCCATTTTTGTCTACAATCTTTTTTTTTTTTTAGATTACTCACAAGTATGCTTTTGTGCATTGAGGAAATTCAAGAGTTCTGAGGAACCCTGAACATCTGTTGGAACCTTTTTGTTTTATGAATGAAGAAACTGAGGCCCAAGCAGATGGTATCTTCTCTCAAACACACACAGCTCCCTTATCTTATAGAGAGTCTTAATAGCTTTGTGTGTATTTCATTGCTCGCCTTCCCTTTGAAGATTGAGCTAAGTCTTCTTTTTCTCATATCTCTCCCATGCCCTCCTCTTGCAGTGCCTGCAGGTCGCTCTGGATCTCAGGTAGATAGATAAAGACTCCTGGAATGGACTTCTCTGTAAATGGGACAGTTAGGGGAGAAGTTAAGAGGAGTTCTTAAAAAATAACTGGAGACTATTGCCATCTGCTGGTGTATATGTGAAACTACAGACAAAAGTCTGTCTCGATGGTAGACCCATCAACACTGGGTTTGGTCTTGCAGGTTTACATGCCTTGCCCTCTTCCTGTATGTAAACCACTCTGGCTCTGAGTTGAGCCTGGGCAAAGAGTATCTGGCAAGATTTGTCTATAGAGGCATAGTTCACAAATGTTTGCTGAGTCCTTCATTTATGTAAAGATATTTAGACTCAAGGAACTTGCAGTCAGAAGAGAGCTAAGAGCATTAATAAACATATTACAATTGTAAGCAAGTACCATAGAGGGAGAACAAAATATGCCAGAGTTCTTCAGAGGCAGGAGGGGGTTGCTGCTGTTTGGGAGAGTAGAGGAAATCACTGAGACCCATGGAAAACATAACATCAACATTCTCATCAAATAGGACAGGCATTTTGCCATTTGGGTTTAGTTTGGCAAATAGTATCTTGGCAGGGAGAGACTGGGAATAAAGAGGGAATGTTCCAGCAGAAGAAACAGCATTGAGGAGATGGAAGGAAATAACCACTTAAAGGCCTGAAGAAAGCTAGGGGTTGTCTCATATTATTCAGAAAAGCATAGCATGGCCCAAGGGTTTGGTTGGGTGAGTGGTGGGCGATAGGCTAGAAAGTAGGCTGGGGCCTGGTTCAGTGAAGCAGATGCTGTGAGTGCCCCACTCATACCCTCGGGACTTAACCATTGTGTCCCAGCCTGCCACAGTATCTTCATCTCTTTGGGGGCTCTCTTTGGTGACCCACTCTGCCCTCATACACAGCAGGTAGGAAGTGTACTCCTCCCTTGGTGAGCAGCTGTCAGCCCATGACTGACTGAGATTGGGATTGGTATATAAATACTGCTGCTCCCTTGTCCCTTGGGTCCTGTTTACTCTTAGGCTTATGTTTGACTATTATTTCCCAGAGGGCCCAACAAGATTAAGCTCATATGCCCACTGTGGTAACTCACCTGATAACACACCTGTATCGGCTGTCTTCCCTTCTCTGTCTCACTTCCACATTTCCCACTGATGTCTCCTGAGATCATTTCCAACACATGTTACATACACTCAAATTCTTATCTCAAGGCCTGTTCCCTCAGGGGGAACTCAATCTAAAACATCATGGAAGACCTGGGATGCTAAATTAAGAAGATTGCACTTCAAGCAATAAGTGCTTCCTTAGTAGCCATTATTTGCAATTAGTGTCTTGTAAACTATCATATTTTCCACATTCTCTCTTGTGGCTATGGAATCTCCCAGCCATTCTTAATTTAGCTAGGTACATATTGCTATGCAGTGACACAGAAATACATGTATCCTAATCTCTGCCCTCATTTCGAAGACCCAGCCCAGCCTAGAGGCATGCTGCATTTCCCATCTACTATTGGTTACAAATTTCTAAGATTCCTTCTTTTATAATTTCCTTTATGTTTAAAGAACTTCCTTTAGCCATTCTTTTAAGGCAGGGAGCCAGGACTCTCGCCCCTACCCAGCAGTATTAAGGTATCTCTCCCTACTATAAATGGATTAAATATACCAGTTAAAAGACAGAGATTGGTGCAATAGATTTTTTTAATGACCAAATCATATGCTGTCTGCCTATAAGAAACTCATTTCAAATGTAACGATATAGACAGGTTAAAAGTAAAAAGATGGAAAAAGATATAGCATGTAAATATTAATCAAAAGAAAGCAGGAGGGGATATATTGTTATCAGATGAAATAGACTTCAGAGTAAAGAAAATTACCAGGGACACAGAGAGAGATTACATAATGACGAAGGGGTCAATCCACCAAGAAGACATAGCAATCCTAAATGTGTATGCTCCAAACAGCAGAGCTGCAAAACATGTGAAGCAAAACTGATAGAAATGAAAGGAGAAACAGACAAATCCACAATTATACTGGGAGATCTCAACACCGTTCTCTCACCTGGTAGAACTATACAGAAAATCAACGAAGAAATGGAGGAACTCAACGACGCCATCGCCCTGCAGGATCAAATATGTAGAACACTCCACCCAACAGCAGCAGAAGACACATTCTTTTTAAGTGCATATACCAAGGAACACCATACAGTTTTGGCCATGAAACAAAAGCTCAAATTGAAAAGAATCGAAATCTTAGAGTTTGCTGTTAGACCACACCGGAATAAAACTAGAAATCACTAATAATCTCCAAACAGACTTAAAATAATCCATGGGTCAACGAAGCCTCGAGAAAAATTTCAAAAATACATTGAATTGAATGAAAATGAAATGACAACAGGTGTGAGACAGAGCTAAAGCAGTGCTAAGAGGGTACTTATAGTACTAAATACTTACGTTAGAAAAAAGAAAAAGTCTCAAATCAATAAACTAAGCTTCTGTCTCAAGATTTAGGAAAATAAAAGCAGAAAAAGCCCAAAACAAGCAAAAGGGAAATAATTATAAGGACCAGAAATCAATGAAATTTGAAAAGAGATAAACAGTAGAGAAAATCAACAAAATCAAAAGCTAATTCTTTGAAAAGGTCAATATGATTGACAAACTTTTAGCAAGAATGACAAAGGAAAAGAGAGAGAAGACACAAATTACAAAAATCAGGAATGAAACACGGGACACCACTACAGACCTTGAGACTTCAAAAGGGATGTAAAGGAACATCTGGAACTCATCTACACACATGAACTCGACAACTCATATAAAGTAAGCCAATTCCCTTATCACAACTCACCCAATGTAACAAAGATGATTTGAATAGCCAGATAACTATTAAGGAAATTTAAAACTCTCAGAAAGGGAATCTCCAGGCCCAGATGTTCTCAATAGAAAATTTTACCAACATTTAAAGAGGACTTAGTATCGATTCTATACAATCTCTTACAAAAAGTAGAATTGGAGGGAGCACTTCCCAATTCATTTTATTTAAAATTACCCTGATACCAAAATCAAAGACAGTACCAAAGTGTGTGTGTGTGTGTGTGTGTGCGCGCGCGAGAGAGAGAGAGAGAGAAAACACTACAGACCCATATATATCTCTCATGAATGTAGATGCAGAAATCCTTAACAAAATCTTGCAAATCGAATTCAGCAATACGTAAAGAGAATTATATATTATGACATGTAAGGTTTATTCCAAGGATGCAAGACTGGCTCAATATTTGAAAATCAATCAGTGTAATACACCATATTAACAGACTAAAAAAGAAAAATCGCATAACCATATTGATGCATTTCACAAAACTGAAAACCCATTCATGATAAAAACTCTCATAAATAGGAGTAGAGGGGAATTTCCTCAACTTAACTTTTTAGAAGTGCCCCCCTCCAAAAAGAAACAAACCCCTAAAGCTCCCCGAACAACTACAACTAACATTACACTTAATGGTGAAAGACTGCGTTCTCCCTGAGATTGGGAACAAAGCAAGGATGTTACTCAACATAGTACTTGAAATTCTAGCTAGTGCAAGAAAGCAAAAGACAGAAATAAAAGGCATAAAGATCAAAAAGGAAGAAAAAAATGGCCCCTGTTTGCAGTCGACACAACTGTCTGCTTAGGAAATCCCAAAGAGTCTACCAAGTTCAATAAGGTCTCAGAAAACAAGATCAACATACAGAAATCAATTGCACCCACTTCATAGCATATACGAACATTAACTTAAAAGGGATCAAATACCTAAATGTAAGAGCTAAAACTATAAACCTCTTAGAGGAAAATATAAGCATAAATCTTCATGGCCTTGGATTAGGCAGTGGTTTTTTCGATATGAAGCTAAAAGCACAGCAACCAAAGAAAAAATAAATTGGACTTCATAAAAGTTAACAAATTATGTGCATTAAATGAGTATTATCAAGAAAGTGAAAAGACAACCCACAGAATGGGAGAAAATAGTTACAAGTCATATATTTAATAAGAGTCTAGTGTCCAGAACATATAAAGACCTCTTACAATTCAACAATGAAAAGATAAAGGTCAAAAAATTTCAGTAGATGTTTCTCCAAAGAAGATATACATGAAAAAAGCTCAACATCATTAGCCATAAGGAATATGCAAATCAAAACCACAATGAGACACTATTTCATGTCTTACTAGTGATTAGATAACCACTAGTTATCCATTTAATTATTAGATAACCGCTCAAGATATATTATGTAAGCACTCAAATTATTTTTATGTAGTACGAATAAAAAGAATTTTGCATTTTTTTTTAGGCCATCATTTGCAGAATATAAAATTGCCTTCAGATTCACCGTCACTGCCCCTGCACCACTACGATTAGCTGTGATGGAGGCCGAGGGAGCCCTCAGTTTCTTTGAAGAAAACTCAGGTTTATTGAATAAGAATGTTTGTGATCAAGTCAAATTTTTATTTAAAAGAAACATTTATTAAAGAAAACTCTGGAGGAAAATACCGTCTCCTCCCTACCTGGCCCATGAAGCCTTCTGTCCAGGCTCCACCAAGGACAGCAGGACCAAGAGCAGAGTCCAGGTGTCCTTGGGCTGCAAATTCAGCAGTCACAATCATTGCCGAGCTCTCAGTAAAGAAATGTAGCTTTGCACCCATTTTGCCTTCGGCTGGGCACAGACTTTCCGACCCCTTTTGGTAGTGAATCTGTGGAAAAGAGACGCTGACAGTCAATACTGAGCCTTTGCCTTCTGGAAAGTGATGGAAAAGGAGGGGCAGCCACCTGACTCAACTTCTCACCTGAGTCGACTTGGGCTGCACCCCTGTCACACTGTCCCTGCTCCGTCTTCTGGTCCTTGACCTCCCTCTTCACCAATACCCTGCTTTCTGCTGGAAACCACGCTTCTGGGCCCACCTCCCCCAGTAAACACTGTCCAACAGCTCCAGTCTGTACCTCACCTCTTAACAGTTTTGTTGAGATATAATTCACACACCCTACGATTCACCCATTTAAAGTGTATAATTATAATTCAGTTTTGAGTATATCCATAGACGATGCAACCATCACCACTATCGATTTTAGAACATTTGTATCACCCCCAAAAAAGGAACATCATAGGTATTATGCCACTTAATTCTTAACCACGTTATCATGGTTCGTTTGCCACAATTCCTGCATTCCTAATGTAGAATTTCTGAGTCCTGCTGTGAGAGGGGAGGAGGGGTTGGAGGGTTGGGAGAATGGGGTGAAGGGTTAAAGAAGTACAAATTAGTAGTTGATAGATGGTCACCAGGATGGGGAGCACGGCATAGGAAATGCAGGAAGCATTAATTTAATGACTAGGTGGAGAGCCAGAGGAGAGAAAGAGCAATGAGGGGGATTGTTTTATAAACTATATAAACATCTAACCAATGTACTGTATACTTGAAACTAATAATAAAATTAAATTTGAAAAAAATCAGGTGCAAGAAGGGCTCTCTGACCTCCCCCTTTCTTCCTGGAAGCAGGAGATATACTTTCTGGTAAAAAAAGGGCCCTCTCTCTGCCAGGAGGAAAGAAGCATTTTTATTACCAAAGATAGGGAGTCAAGGCCAAGAGAAGTTTGTAGAAACAGACCTTGCTAAAATAACTCGTTTCGTCCTTTAGCAACCCACTATACTTTTTAGTTATTTTTCTACAATTACCTTTCTTCGTTCAACCTAGTATAAATACATTTAAGTTTTGCCCCTTTTTTTTCGGTCTTTATTTTCCTATGAGGGCTCCCATGTACGTGTAAAAATCTGCGTGCTTTTCTCTTGTTCATCTGTCTGTGTTACTTTAATTCTCAGCCCTGGCCTAAGAGGGTAGAGATAAAGCTTTGCCTCCCTTACAGTGGCAAGCTCCCTCCTCGTCTCTCTCTTGCTGCCCCCTTCAAGCACCCATCACAATTGTGATTATTTTGTGCAAATGTCTTTTAATGTCCCATTTCTTATGCTTGATGTAAGGTCTGTAAGGGCCATCTTGTTTTCTCTTTTATACTCGGCACTTAGCACAGTGCCTGGCGTGTGCCTGGCACATAGTATGGAAGTTAGAAAACCAAAGTTCAAAATCATACTTGTTAGTGGCAGAGGTAGGGTGACAACTCAAGTTACCATATTCCCATCCTGAGGCTTATCCTGGCTCTGTGGGCGCCTGCCCAGCATCCACGCAATTACACGGCTGGTAGGGACCCTAAATGCCCAAACGATAAAGACTCACATCACAGCCTGCTGGGAGCAGCTGTTCCTGGTGAATTCATAGGTTTGCACCCACTGCCAGGGAAGAGTCCGGTGGCTGAACTGTGAGCAGCAGAACTTGGCCACATTACTGCCATCTGAAAAACAGAGAGAGGAAGGAGCTTGGAGACATTCCTTTGCTTCCACTCCCAGTGATCCCAGGAAGGGAGTAGGGGCAGCTACATACGTGTGGCAGCTTCGAGGTGGATACTCAGGATGAAAACCAGAAGAAGAGGGGGAGCCATGGGAAAACTCTTCATGGTGCTACAAGCTGAGCCCTTCACAGCCTCCTCCCCAATTCCTTCTGTCCTAACCAGACCTCCTTTTATGGAGCTGAGTGGTTCCTGAAGATAATTCCAGATAATTTTGTGGTTGAGAACTTTGACACTGCTGTGGAGAAGTAACACAATACCTTGAGGAGACTGGAAAGTGAGAAAAAATCATCTGGGGGCAAGGGAGGAGCCAGCACACTATTGAGAGCCTGTGCCTGGTGTTATTTCAACACTTTCTTGTTGAAAAGCAAACACGGAGGAAATGAAATAATAATTCCAGCGAACTGTCCTAAAGCCCTTATAACACAATTAGTTGTTTCAGATAAATTTCTCGCTCTTGGCCAAAGCTTTTATTGCTTTCGAAATATTGCTTATCGCTTTCTAATATTGTATATCTCTGGACAATCTCAGGACATGCATGTTAAGCAGTCCATGACAGTGGACATTCAAGAAAGAGGCTCCAGGTATTTCCTCCTATGTTCTTAGTGTCACACATCAACCCACAGGTGGCATTAAAGCTGCCTGTGGGCACTCAGAGCTTAGAGGATCCCAAGCCTGATAGAACAGCTCAGTGGCCTGGAGTCTAAAAGATATACCTATTCCCTGTGCCTGCTCTGCACCTCCCTGGGGGGAGAGGGGTGGCGGAGGAGTTGGGAGAGAAACTCAGGAATCTGTATTTTAGTCAGAACTGGAACTGGAAAAGTGAATTCTAGAAAGGGACAGTGACTTCTGCCAGGAGAGTCTTAAAAAGGGATAGGTGGGGCTTTCAGATCTGTGTTTCATGACTTTGCTGTCATTCCCACCCTCTGATATGACCCTGGGCTTTAGAAATTTGAATTTAAGTTAAAAAAAGAGAAAAGGCCACCAGTACTATTCTGAGTGACAGAGAACTCACCGTTGAACTTGTCTCAACCTAAGACAGCTCTGACTACGTGCAACAAAATTCTTCTAAGTTCTTTTTTAAATTTGGCTAAAATCTATGCTCTCATTGCTTCTACTTACAGACCCAGTTTTATGCAAAAATGTCTAATTTCTCTTCTCTTTTTGTGGGAGATGAGGAAATTGAGGTTTTGGCGGGGTTAAAGACTGTTGTTTAAGTTTGGTTTCCCTAGAACAGGCCCTGAGACAAGGATTCCGATGCAAGCAATTCATGAGGGAGGTGATTCCGGAAGACACCAGCAGAGAAGGGGGCAAGTGAGAAGGTGAAGGGCAGGTGCCAATACAAGGAGGGTTATTGAGCAGGTTACTGCCACCAGCAGCTAAAGCTTGGTTCCACTGTGGGATTCTGGGAGCCAGTGCAGAACCAACCTGAGTCGGTCCGCCTGTAAGGTGAGGAAACTGGAACATTAACCTCCCCAGTTCTCTGCGTGGCATTGGTTGAGAGCTGTGTCCCACACTCCTGGCTTGTCCTCTGAGCAGGCTCAGCCCTCTCCGTGATCAGGGAAAAGGCCCTCAGGCTGAGTCCATGGTGTCTTCAATGAGCAGTCTTTGGCTCTCAGAAGGGAATGATGAGAGGATATGGGTGGGGCTCCAACAGCACCTGCTACAGCCATTATGTTTGCCCTCGAATGTTCTCTTCTTGAGGCTAAACTCTCCTACGCCTTTAATTTGCTCCACACCATCCTACCGGCCACCTTGACACACCGGTTTTGACTTTAATGAACAGCTACTGGGGACCCAAATGTTTCATAAGTGGGATACATAAACACTAACTATAAGGGTTTGGTAAATAGTTGATAAATAGGACAATATTAAACACTGGAAATTTATTCATTAGAAGACAAATGAAAGGCAATCTGCAGGTTGGGAGATTTTTGCAACACATCTGTACTGGGTTGAATAGTATCCCCCACTGTGCCCCACTCCCAATTCACAACAACCCAGAACTTCAGATTCTGACCTTTGGAAAATAGGGATTTTGCTGTAATTAAGAGGAAGTCATATTGGATTCGGATGTGATCTTTTGATATTGTAACTTATAAGAAATATATATTTAGTCTACATGCCCTGGCACACAGCTCCTAACCCTTGTAATTTTCTGAGTGGTAAGAGCAATGGGAGCATCTTTTGTTATAATCTTTGGTCCTTTATCCTCATTTCTTGAAATAGCTCCAAAGCAATAAAGGCGAGAGGAGTATCTTGTTAAACATAATAAGCCCCTTTCAACCACACCTGTTTGTATTAATCATGTAAATTTTGGAAAGCCTCTAGGCAACCACAGAATGAGAGCTGGTTGCCAGGGGAATCTTGTGATTAGAAGGTTGGAGCTTTCCATCCCCACCCCCCACCTCCAGGGAGGGAAGAGGGGCGAGAGGTTGAATTATTCCCCAATGGCCAATGATCTAATCAATCCTGCCTATATAATGAAGCCCCCATAAAAATCCCCAAAGAACAGAGTTCGGAGAACTTCTGGGCTGGTGAATGCGTGGAGGTGTTGGGAGGGCGGTATTCCCAGAGAGGGCATGAAAGCTTGGCATCTCTCCCCAATTCTGCCCTGTGCGTCTCTTTTATTTGTTCCTGTGTCGTACCCTTCGTAATAAACCGGTAACCTAGTAAGTAATTAGTTTTCCTGAGTTCTGTGATCCAGCAAATTATTAATCCTGAGGAGAGGATCATGGGAACCTCAGATCTATAGCAGTTTGGTCAGAAGCACAGGTGACAATCTGGGCTTGCAACTGGCATCTGAAGTGGGGGCAGTCTTGTGGGACTGAGCCCTTAATCTGTGGAATCAGACATTATCTCCAGGCAGACAGTGTCTGAGATAGTGTCTGGAACTGAGATAAATTGAGGCTTGCAATTGGCATCTGAAGTGGGGGCAGTCTTGTGGGACTAAGCCCTTAGTCTGTGGAATCAGACATTATCTCCAGGCAGATAGTGTCTGAGATAGTGTCTGGAACTGAGATAAATTGTAGGATAGTCAGCTGGAGTGTGAGAATTGCTTGATGTGAGGAAAACCCTCCCTTATCTAGTGTAAGAAGTGAAGTATTGAGAACAGAGTGTTGCAGTAAGTAGACGGAAAACAGAAGAGTTTTCCCCCTTTTAACTCTAAATCCAATGACTAGTGTCCTTATAAGAAGGCGATGTGAAGAGACAGAGAGACAGGGAAGAAGCTCACACAAGGACGGAAGAAGAGATTGCAATGAAGCATCTACATATAGGCTAAGGAGCACCAAAGGTGGCTGTGGGACCCACCAGAAGGTAGAAAGAGGCAAGGGAGGGTTCTTCCCTCAGGCCTTTAGAGGGAGCACAGCCCTGCTAACACCTTGATTTCAGACTTCTAGCCTCCAGAACCCAGGACAGAATAAATTTCTGTTGTTTTAAGCCACCCGTTTGTGGCAATGTGTTAAGTTCTAAGAAACTAATACAACAGGTATCTGTAAAAGAGCTAAAATTCTGAGTATATAAAGAACATTATAACAAGAAAAAGACAACGCAATAGTAAAATGGCTTAAAGTTTACGAAAGAGGAAACACAAATGATGCATGAAAAGTGGCTTGCTTCTATTAGTCATCAGAGGAATGCAAACTTAAACCACAATGCGATACTACTCCCTCACCCACCAGAATGGCTAAAATGAGGAAGATGAAAAGTACCAAATGTAAGTGAGGACATAGTACACTGGAAGTTCATATACTGACGGCAGGAGTGGAAAAATATTGACAATATTTACTAAAGCTGAACATATGCATACTTCATAATCCAGCAATTCCACTCCTAGGTATATACCTAACAGAGATGTATACATATGTTTACCAAAAGCCATTGTCTGTAATAGCCCCAAACTGGAAACTACCCAATATCCATCAACAGCAGAATGGAAAATAAATTGTGGCTTATTAACATAGTACAATACCATACAGCAATGAGAATGAACTATAATTACACATAACCATGTAGATGTATTTCTTGATCTAATACTGTGGAAAAGAAGCCAGAGAAATATTGTAGGTTGCCACAAGTATAAAGTAACAAATGAGCGAAACTGACCTATAATGATGAAAGTCAAAACAGTGGTTATCCTTTGGGGATAGCAACTAGAAAAGAGGCCCAAAAGGGAGCTCCGGGGACCTTATTCCTTGATATAAGTGCTGGTGCACCCATTTACCCTCCCGAAAACTCACTGAGCTATACTCTTAGGAATTGCATACTTTTTGCATATTGTATCTCAATAAATTAGTGAAGGAGAAGGAAGCGATCTGGCGAATAAAACAAAACAAATAACTCTGCAGTTAAGTAAATATTTTCTAGGAGCCATAACCTTCCCATTTCCCTTTCTTCCTCCTCCCTCCTTTGTATTCAGAAAATTTCTCATTTCAAGGAAAAGCTCTGGCTGGCTATCATGTCAGCCCACATCTGGTTTGCATTTTCTGCTTCCTCCTTCCAAACCCCATCTCTTCCCAACCTGGCAGAGCTCCTACCAGCTTCCAGACTGTCCAGAGTCAGCCTTTACTGCCATAGTCCCAGGAGCATGGGGGTAAGACCTCTTCTTAGCTTAAATAATTATATCTTCAAAAGCCTTATTTCCAGATAAGGTCATGTTCTGAGGTTCCAGGTGAACATGATTATTTACGACTCACCTCAGATCTATTACAAAATCTTCTCCCACTCTGCAGATTGCTTTTCCACTCTCTTACTAGTATCTTCTAATGAATATAAGTTCCAAATTTTAATGTAGTTCAGTTTATCAACTGTCCCCTTTTATGGTTAGTAATTATTGCATTTATGAGGTATTTGGGTCCCTTCAGCCAAGGAGCATGTCTATAAATAGGCTTCTACTAAAACTCCCCCTTCTTGGTTCTTGTGCACCAGGCCCCTCAGGTCAGTGGCTGGAGCGTGTCCTTAATACCTGCCCTAGACTAGTGGCCTTGGATCCTGCTCTGTTCCCACCAGCCCCTTCTCTATGGTTGAAGCCCCTGACCCCTACCCTCCAGCCTGCTGGCTAGACTCCTACTACGTATGTATGGAACTCTCAGAACCCTATGTCCCAT